CTTGGCAAGAAAAATGACAAGATAAGCTTCCCAAACTAGGTCCCTAGGTGTCTATGCTAGGTTTGAGAAACATTCCATTTCTCACCTTTTGCATGAACTGGAGATATGTCATACAGTTCTTCAAAAGAAAATTCACCCCACACTGTATTGTTTCTTTTAAGTCAGAAACAGCCTTTTACATAAAACTGATTCAAGGCTACTCAGTGGAATTTTGAGTAGTTTGAGGCATGTGGATTACAACTAAACTTTATTCAACTGTAAGTGCCACACTGCTTGAGGTCTAAATTGTTTTTAGTTTGTCACGCTCACATACTGAAGCAAGATTTCATGAGAAAAAAAGTAGAAACGGTGTACCAAAATCTTATATGAAGCAAAATAACTAGTTCTAGAATTACTGCAGCAGGTAACTTGATTCAAAACGTGGTTAAAAATTTATATGATAGTCTAAAAAACCTTTACTAATTAGAAAAAAAAAAGTTTCTAAAAAAAGTTCTAACTATAAGAATATAAACAGGCAAATGAATATAATTAGTAGTTTTACCAAAGTAACTGCAGCTACTGAGAATTTCATTAAAGAAAGGTTTATGTGAGAGTTGATGACACTGCAGCATATTCACAGGACTTTCTTTACAAAGTTGTGAAGTCTGCTTAGGGACCTTTAATATGGAACACACTACTACATGGTTTATACCTTACAGTTAGTTCATCTCCTAAATCATTAGGAGAAAACAAGGAAATGATATGTCAATCTGTCACTGAAAGACACACTGAATATATGTGGCAGCACAGTATACACAATAATCTGTCAAAGTTTTAATACATGGGAGATACCAGTGGTAAAACCAAATAATAATAATAAATTCTTGGTAATGGTTGTTCCAATTAGGACACTACTAGATCAAAACTTTAATTGAAAATTGCATATTTAGTCTAAAACTTGCAGATATTTTATCAGGATCATCAGATAAACTGGTTTTTAAAATGTGATGAAAAGTCTGTGCTTGGGGCTTAGAAAGAACAGCAGCAACAAAGGCACTTTCTTGATTGAGGATAAACCATGCTAGCAACAAAGGATCTTGTAAAATTTAACTGTAAACACCTTTGGGACTACTTCATCACATCTAGTTATGCCATCCAATCCATATGGGACCATCTGGACACTTGATTTGCCTTACTGATTTTGAACGCTTTTGTTGTTCATTTACCTGTACGTACATATATTTGTGTGCCTTTTAATACCTAATTTCCATACTTCATATATTCTGCTAAGTCTGCAGAGGCTCTTTAAAACTGTTCTCAGTGCCCTTGATTCTATGCCACTTTGCAGTGGAATCTGATCTCAAATGTGTCTATGATCAATCTGATCAAGGGTGCTATTTATAGATAGATATCACTATATATAGCAAAGAGAAAGTTTAATTATCTTAAATAAAATTGCTCAATTTAATAAAGGAACAAGTGACCAAAATTTTCAAAGACAAAAGAATTTTGCTGGATGTTTTGATAATAGATATTAAATATAAAGGTTATATTCCCTTCCTCCCATCCCTAGCACTTGAAAAATTAATGAGTATTTGAAATAGAATTCAGTAAAAAAAAAAGTCTATTATTTTTTATCATATTGTAAAAGCTTTTTTTGAGAGTATAAATAACTGGGCAAATATTAAAATACATTCTGTAGTCTTTCTTTACATTGACTCCCTAAATTTTACTTGAGAGCTCATGACTGAATAGGTAACTTGTCAGTAACTATTATTTGAAACATCGTTTTTGAAATGTATCATTCTAATGGCGGCTTTGTAATGTTAATATTTTTCTTTTTTGCTATCTCTTTCACAAGCCTTAGGGGAACATAATCCTCTTTGGCATAAAATAATGCACCTTTGCAAATGTTCTGGATTTCTGAAATAGCTAATACACCTAAATCTATAGCTTGTAAGCAATTTAGGTCTCAGATTGAACATACTCTTAGACTACTATAAATTAAAACTGCAATCATAAAAGGAAAATTAGAGAAATTAAGTATTTACAATAGTTTATATACTAGCACACATTACAGCTTTTGCTCTTTTATTGTTTTCATTCTAATTCTGATATTCTTAATATATGTCTATATTCCTCATTATCATATATTCCCATTTCACTTAGCAATAGATTTATTACGATACAGAAGTCTACATTTTCATACGGTATATTTAATCTAATTATTTAAACCTCAAAATCATCAGTATGCAACTAAAATACTGTCAGCTAATTTTCTTCCTAATATCTTTAGTAACATACCAATTGACTTCTTTTACATAAATGAGTACTTTCTTGAACTGTTTGGACTTCTGTTTTTTTTAATGAAATAAATTCTCCTCTTCTAACTAGAAGTCAGCTATTAACGTAAGTCACCTGGGAGCCTGGCCAAAGTCTGAAACAGCACAGCTGAAGGGTACAGCCATTTCACAGGGTCCTCTCAGAGAGTATTTGGTTTGCTTTCCTAACTTTCTAAAAATAGTAGATTACACAGGCTACCTCCATCTCATAGCTCAAGAACTCAGAAAAGGCTGGACTATGGATTTAAGCAATACACAGCACACATTTTATTAAAGAAGTCAGGACATTACAAGTTTTCTAAATTTTTTTTCCATTTACTCTGTGACAAAATGCAAATGATCTAGCAGTTACTGGCATGGAAACCTCATAACGCTCCCAAATTTCAGAACTTCAAGCATGAGTCATACAGTTACTTTAACAGTTTTAAAATACGTTTTTGATCTATTTTAGCCACAAGACTGAATACAAGAGGACTGCTATCTAAAAGGAAGGATTCTAAATACTGTACAAAGAATCACATGTGTCAGTTATAAAAATATGTATACACACATACATAAGAAACATATTTTTTAACATAAATACTTAATTGCATATTCAAAATTGTTTTAATTCTTAACATAGTTATTTTACTAACACTTAAGAAGCTGTTCTCCTGGGTATAAAGCTCTATCATAAATAAACTTGTTTTTATTTTTTTCCTCTTATTCAAATCTAAAATATTTTATCAAGTTTTAGACACTGTAATTTAAATTTAAATTAAATTCAGTTTCTCTCAGAAAGACAAAGAAAAAGGACAAAGTTTGCATTGATTCGCTGCTGTAATGAGTTCATGTCATAAATAAATTTAAAATCTTGAAATTATATAAAGTCTTTGATGTGACAGTTGAATCTTGTTAACCACACAGCATGTCATTAAGCAACCTTGCTGCTTTACTCAAAAAGGTACTGTTCTGTGGCCACAAGTGAGCAGCAACCAAAAAAAAATTTTTTTTGAGATGGAAAAAAAGCAACTGAATATTAATGTTTCACAATGTTTCCAAATGTTGTAGAGGCAGGTCTTCTGTGAAACCACTCAATGTCATAGCCACATTTAATGTCCTTCAGTTTGCAACTACAAGTGCACCATCAACTATCTGTAGGATTAAAAATTGGATTTACTATTAATTGGGTCAAAACAGGGTTACTTATGGCCACAGCTGGTTACCGACAAGAGTAATTAGCTCTTTGCCCCTCATTTTATGCGTCTCAGTCTCTAATTACACCTAAATTCAACCAACTTGAATTTAGGGACACACATTCACGGAGGTACAACCACTGTGCCCTTCACTGATGCCTCTCAAAGGAAAGGGTGAACGAAGTCTCAATAAGTTCATAACTTTTGTTTATTGATCTTTAGGACTATGACATTAAGAAAAATCTAACATTTTAAAATATTTTTGCTGTTGTTAATACCTCCTTATCTGTTCAACTCTAAAGATCATATTCTGGAATCTTTGGTAAAAACTTTAGCAAAATGAACAGCCTACAATGGACCAGAAAACAATGAACTGAAACAGTTAACTCATAACTCAACCTGATGTTATTAAAGAAAACTATTATAGCACTATATATTTTTAAAGAAAAGATGGACCTATGAGACTTTTACTTCTCTACATATGTAGAAGTGATAGTGTTCTCTCCTCAAAGGTCCAAAGAATTAAACTGGGACGTCAATATTCAAAAGCAATTTAATTAAACCAAGTAGGGTGAAAGTACCTAGGAACACATGTCTAGTCTTGACCTTGTGTGACAAAGTAAAGACATGTATGTTATCTTTTAAAAGACTCGTTTTCAAATATGATACCTAAATTACAAATCCAATGACATTTTTGAATGTCAAGAAATACTAAAGTAAATATTTTAGTATTACAGTGCCCACAAAAGCTAACTTTTAACATTTCTGGCTAAGACTATTACAAATAAAAAATAATCACAATCTAACAGAAAATAAACTAAGTTAATTCACATTAGAATTTTTGAAGCTGGAGCAATCCAATAAACAATAGTACTTATGAGTTTCTACTTATTTATAAAACTCACATTCAACAAAGTTTGTGCCTCAGGTAAGGTGCTATAGCAGCAGTTCAGCACCTTACTTCTAGTTATATTTTCCACAAAATGCAAGACTGTGGCTTTAAAATAAAATACCCATAAAATAAAATCCAAAATGTCAAAATATTAAAAGAGCAAAAAGTCTATCCAAGTTTAGCTGATTTTAAATCTGCTTCTCTTTTGTAACTATACAATGCCTTTACCAACAGATAAAAATCATCTCCATTCAGTTACCACCATGGCCTTATACATAATATATGCATACGCTAAACACTCACATGTAGCTACCTTTGCCATTTCCAGGGACAGACACTCACTTTGCTATTACTAAGTGAAAAATATATCAACACTTTCTGCCCTGGCAAAAACATCATGGAGCGAAAGGACTGATAAAGTTATTCATAACAAAGTTTGGCCAGACTTGGTTCTATTGCTTCTTGTAAAGTTCCCCAGTCCAACATCATCAACACACTATATAACTAGACTATGAACAAAGCAATCCATAATTCCAAACGCAGAGGACTGTATGTCCATATCCCCTTTATTCAACCATTGAATATCCTTAAAAGAATATAATAGTTACTCACTTTCAATGAATCAAAGCAGGCGATTACTCGTCCATTTTCAACTTGGCAGCTTTTCGAAGGATGTGCAAATTTACATTCCGTGTCTGGCCGTGAGCAAGTCCCCCTCTGGAACTCTCTACATACTTCCAGTGTTAGCCATTTTGTGTCCCGAATTGGTGTGACACTAACAGCCATGTTTAGATTTTACAGGTAGTTAAATTTTTCAGTGAAACCAACAAACCCAACCCCCCCAAAAAAAAGAGAAAAAACAAAAAAAAAAAAAAAAAAAAAGCTGAACTGATGATGAAAATGTCCCCTCAAAATACTTTTCCCCACTCCCTGCTTTAAAAGTACATGGAAAATTGTGTCGTCAATATCAAGGAAAAGATCTCCCACTAGAAATTCACAGCATGAAACTGTTAATTCAAAGAGGTTTTGGCTTTTAGAGAAATACTAGGATTGTAAGTAGATGAACGTTTAAAAGTAGGGCCTGGTATCAGCCTTGTGCTCTCAGTAACCCCTTCCCAGTGCCAATTTGGAGCCCAAAATGCAAGCATGAAAACGTGGCAGACCCTTTGACACCGAATTTCCAAGCTGCTTTCAGCAAAGTTGTCTGAAAGGGAATCTCCTCACAGCTGAATTTGCAATGGAGTTTGGTGGTGCAATCGGTATTGATTAGTTTGGCATAGACAGATGCAGCAGTTTAGAGCAAAATCGAGAAAATGATTTTTTTTTCCTCCTTGATTTCCTGGCAGAAGATATCTTACTTTTTCAGCAAACTTTTCTTTTAACACTAAAGCAGCCTAGGGCAATGCCAGATACTTAGAGCTTTTCTCTTGATTATAAGTAGAAATGGGGGTGTCTGGGCTAGAGGTGGAGGGTGGATGTGCTGTCGTCACAGTCTAGCTGGCAGCAAGCAAGGCAAAAGCAGAGACTGCTCTAGAAGCGGTTCCAAGCAGCAGAGACGTCAGGAAAGGCACTTCTTAGTACCAACCTGTAGAAAAAAGAGATAGGTTAAGATTTACTAAGTAGCACTTCACTGATGTCCTACAGTATCACAACCTTGCCATGTGATACCAGACTAAGTAATATTCAAGTCAGCCTCTCTCTCTCCCTCTCTCTCCCACACATACACATACAAAATACTTACAGTGAGGCATATTGCAGCCAGCCATCGTAGATTTATTAAAAAAAGGGGCCGTTTCCCCTTGTGAAGCAATGCATGATAGAGAGATAACCAATCACAGATAGTGTTGCAGCAATATTCTGGGCAGAAAGCCAATAGTGTGGGTTGTCTTATGAAAGGTCGCGCCTGTCAGACGTTCATTACTATGCTATAAGCACAGAAAATGTCCATCAGATGTGACTTATTCCACTGCAAGAGGACGAGCATGTGGGTTTTGAATTTACCCAACATGCAGTTAGTGGACTAAACCATGTTAGTTTTAAAACAGCTTCTCAGACAAGTCTAAGCACTTGAAGATCATTACCAGAGAATAAAAAGCAAGGTTTAAAAATTGCAGCTGACTTCCAAGCTGCTTTCCCTCCGGCTCTGCGCAGGGACGGGCACTGAACAGCCTGCTCCTGCTGTCCTGACACGTGAATAAAAAAGGAAAGGGGTGTTTACAAATGGTACATTCTCCTGACCTATCCAATTCACTTCCTTCTAAAGCCCAAGTCCTGCCCCTCCACTGAAAGCAGCACTCATACTGTAAAACTATTCCATTGAGCCTGCAGACACTTTGTCAATATATCACAGGCAGGCAAGATATGAACAAAAGCATCCTTTATTCGTACATTTTTAAAGCAGAAGCTGAGGTCATGTGGGGAAAATAAGGAGTGCAGTGTTGTCAGTGTATCTGGTAAATCTGAAGTCAACCTCAAGGGAAAATGTGATTCCATCGCAGAAACATTAAATATTAAGTAAGCAATTTGATTTGGGCAGAGTGATGCACTTCAGAAGTACAATTCCAAACGAAGCTGGAGGGTCAGGGATGAGGGATCCCCTACTGCCTGATAATCAGTTAACTCAGCACTGCAAGACTACTCCTTAGAGCATGGCATTTTTATTTTTAACAACTTACTTTCTCTTTCTATCAGGATTTTTTTTTCTTTTTTCCATTGAATGTCCCTAATGAGGAAAAAAAGGCTTTAAAAAGTAAAATTTTCGCATTTTAAAGAGGCAATGTCACAGTACGATAATGTTTGATTATACTTCTTCATGAGCCAAAATTACTCTATTGGCATATGGTATATTCATAATTTTTGGAAATTAGAGTATAGAATATAAATATAGGTATGTTAAAAAACACAAACATCTAGAACTTAAATTGTTTAAGATTAATAGTTATTTTAACACTGATTTTCTTTTAAAAAACTACTTTCCAAAACTATTTGGAAAATACAACAGTAAGACTACAACTTTTGGTAGAGATTAAAAGAATCGGTTGGGCGCAGTGGCTCACGCCAGTAATCCCAGCACTTTGTGAGGCTGCGGTGGGTGGATCACGAGGTCAGGAGTTCAAGACCAGCCTGGCCAACATGGTGAAACACCATCTCTACTAAAAATACAAAAATTAGCCAGGCGTGGTGATGGAGCCTATAATTCCAGCTACTTAGGATGAGGCAGAAGAATAGCTTGAATTCGGGAGCCAGAGCTGCAGTGAGCTGTGATCATGCCACTATACTCCAGCCTGGGCAACAGAGCAAGACTCTGTCTCAAAAAAAAAAAAAAAAAAACCAAAACATTGCTCACTCCTGTAATCCCAATACTTTGGGAGCCCAAGTTGGACAGATCATGAGGTCAGGAGTTCAAGACCAGCCTGGTCAACATGGCGAAACCCTGTCTCTACTAAAAATACAAAAAATTAGCCAGGCATGGTGGAGGGCCAGTAATTCCAGCTCCTTGGGATGCTGAGGCCAGATAATCTCCTGAACCCAGAAAGTGTATGTTACAGTGAGCTGAGATTGCACTGTTGCACTCCAGCCCAGGCTACACAGTGTGAGTCCATCTCAAAAAAAAAAAAAAAAAAAAAAAAAAAAAAAAGAACCAACTCATCCCAGTGTTCAAGAAATATTTTTGTTTTCAAAAAAGTTTCCAGGTCCTAATGCCAGTTTTTACTAAAAAACAAAGGTCCAGTCAGTCATAAACTGTAAGCTGTATCTGTCTTTCTGAATCTTTGCTCTGCATTAAGAATTACTCATTGACTTATGCCTTGAGAATGGACCACCTGCATGGTCAACAATCTCTTTAGTCCGTCTCTTCAGAATCTGCAAGTGCCTCACCTGCAACTATTTTCTTCCTCTAAAGCCAGCTAAGATGTCACTTCCTCCAAAAAGCTACCAAGATGTCATTACCCCCATCTCTATCCAACCATATATTATTAACACTGCCTTCTCTGAATTATCTCTGCACCTATGCCCTTCCCTATACAGTGTTTCATTTCCTTATATATCTGACCCACTAGACCATATGTTTTTAAGTACAAAAAAAATATAAGCAAAGTGATGCAAAACAGATGCAGTTCCATAAATATTGGTAAATTATCAATTATTGCATCAGGATTTGGATTACCTCTAGAGCACAAAATATACAAAGACACACATGAACACATATATGAATACAACACATGAACATACTGAAACACACACACACACACACACACACACACACACACACACATATATATATATATATATATATATATATATACACACACATATATATATTATTGCCTTTATATGTTCCAGGGTCACATAGGTCCTTCCATTGCCTCACAACCTAGCCCTGTTCTTGGACAGCTCCCTATCTCATTCCACACAGCAGCTTTTCTAAAACTTCATTTCTCTTTCTCCACGTTCACTAGCAGCAGTGGGTAATATTACATGCCAAAAATATTTCATAGCCATAACAGTAGCCCTTAAGCATGAACTTTTTCTTACCTTCCTACCCATGTGTCTTTTACCTATCCTTCTGTATCTTGCTTGACCTACCAGTTCTCACTCCTCCTGCCCACAGTTAAGCTTCCATAAGCCTCCACCTTGACTCATTCATTCTCAAGACCTCTTTCTTTCTCTGCCTCCTCTATGCATGCACACCCTGTCTTTCAGCAGTTCCTTCTCTTAGCTTCCAAATATGCTGAAGTAACTCCAAAATGCAGAGGGTGACATGGCAGGAGGAAAAGGACCCAGCCCTGGCTACGTATCCTCCTCTCCCTAATGCACTTAATCCATCCTTCCCAGGCCAATATCCAAAGAAAGAGTCATCTTCCGTGCAGTTTTTCTGCTTCTTCCTTTCCCATTCACTTCTGAATTCTTATCAATCTGACTTCCATACCCACTATGTTACCTCTCAGAAAAGGTGATCAATACTGTCAGAAAAGCCAAGTCCAAAGACCATGTTTTGTCCTTCCTTGCCTTTACTTGATCTGTAACATGACTTACGGCTCCCTCTTTCTCGAACCTTTCCCTTTGACCAAACTGACACATTTTATCCTGTTGCTTCTCCCAGTGCTGTACCTCTTGTATTCCCCTGGAGGGGAGTTGCTGAGGGTTCTTGGCAGGTGCCAAGACATGTGTGAGCTCCTGGAACTTGCTACATGCTAACTCCCTGTTTGGTTTAACACACACTTCCTCATCCCTGGAATTTGGCAAATTCCTTCTCCTTGTTTAAATTGCTCTTCAAAAATTACCTTCTCTATAGGGCTGGGCCAACTATGCTAAACATTATTCCCTCTCAGAATGTTTTTGGTATTTTGCAAATCTGTGTACCTTTCCTCCTCAACGTTATAAACACCCTGACAACAGGGTGTAGGTCAAGTGTCCCCCATTACACAGTTCTTGGAACATAACAGACCTTTTTTTAAAAATGTTTTATAAATGAATAAACTTCAATCATACTTACAGAAATAAACATGTAATATGAGGATGTGTTCCCAACCTGGACAAAATAAATACTTAATCATGATCTATGGCATCCAGACAATATATGTAAAAAGATTGGTACTATAAGAAATATGTGCATTGCTTGGTGGTCATGTCTAAATACAACTACAAATTAACTTCTAGGTTTGATTATTTTTCCTTTTTTCCAGGTTACAGATAGTCCCACTCAAGTACAAAATATACTTTGATTACTAAAACGCATGCGAATTAGCATTGTGATTATCTTTATTTTCTGTAGCAGAGAAATTCTATTTACTTCAAAAGTGCTATTGAAAGAATTATAAACATATTTGTGCTATTTAATTGTAAAGGACATAGGCAAGGACAATAATCAAAATATTAATAATTAGTTCAGGCATAGACTCTGAGCAATTAAAATACATACTGGCTTTTATGCATTAGTCTAGCTGGACCTGATAATGTATGTGCCTGTCCTTGATATAGGGCACTGTGGGTAACAAACTCAAATTATATCCTACAGATCAATTTCACTAAACTTCTGGTATTGGATCATCTTATATTCCTTCTCTTTATTAAAAAAAAAAAAAACACATTTCAAAAAACAGAAATCTCTTGGTAAATTAAGATTTTATAGAATTTGGATCAATATTGAATTCACAAAACATTAACTAGTAGTGGATTTTTGTTCTATGGATAGACACAGTATTTAAAGTGTGTGAGTAATGTACAGATAGGGAGAATTCTTGCAAATATATTTGGCCTAAGATAAATTGTTTGTAAATAATTAGTAAAGGAAAGATTTCTATTTCAAAGATAAGTACTAATGGGTAAATTGCTTCTGAGGTAAATCTCTGACCTATATTTCAATACATTATAATAAACTTCTCTGAACAACAAAAATATTATAAGAATAGAACTTTTAAAAATCTGAATAACAGCTGATAGTAGGCCCTCTTTAATCTACTGATCAAATTCCAAATGCTACAGAGTTTCTTGCTTTATATGACATCTTCTATAACATGAACATTCTGCCATAAGAACAAATTTCTTCTTGAATGATATCAGAAATCATGTATATATTCTACTTTAAGATAGATATAAGGGGGAAAATAAAAAGAAATGAAAATGTGAAATGACAGATTAAAAAAAACAAGAAAAGGATAAAGCAGAATGAAATTATTCTTATTCTTTCAACAAGTATTCTTAAAGATTATATACATACATACACACATATATATACATATATACATATATATGGCTTCATATGAATGCCTATTTAAGAGTCACATATCTACTGCTATAGAAGATAAAGAGATGCTTACAAGGTATGAATGAAATTCTCTTCTGGAGTACTGGATGCCCTCTATGACCAAGGTTAAATTTCTTGCTCACATAAGTTTACTAATCATTTCAGTTCTTCTAAACCAAATATAGGCAATCAGTCCAATTACATCCCAGAGTAGTTAGCTGGTAATTTTGAAGACTTTTTAAAATATGCTTTTAATGTTGATATAAGTTATATATTAAGGAAATTAATTATTTGAGGTCCTTTATTATGATTTTGTTTACTAAGATAGTTTCAGTCTAACTTTTAAGAGATGGCCAGATTCACCCTGTAAGTTTGGAGGAGATAAGAAGGAACCCCTTGCCCGAAACCACAACTTCTTCCCCTGGCTCACTGGTATCAACAAATCCATAATTAGTAATGCAATTCTTTGGTAAACTAAGTTTGCTCACACAATTATTCCCAGGGCTTGTCCCAAACATTAACAGAGATCCCCATATACAAAAAACCAACCTGGCATTTCTGTAGGGCATACAGCCATCACCGTATTCACTAAGGTGCTAAGTAGAGTAACAAAGATGTTATATATTATACGGGAAGAACTGTCATCTGAATGAGTTAATGCAGCCTTCAGCAGCATTCAACTATATATAGCAAAAAGCAGAGACCAGTATTTCTCCATTAGGGATAAGCACAATACCTGCAGTACTCACAGCAATTTTAGGTAAGGCACAAGCAACGTAATTTTAACAGATGGATAAGAATGCTAGAACTAGTGTATACAGTCTGTGGTTACATCAGTATTGTAACTTAGGAAGAAATAAAGTTTAATTTACAAATTATAAGGGTCAGGCACAGTGGCTCATGCCTGTAATCTAGCACTTTGGGAGGCTGAGGTGGGAGGATTACTTGAGGCCACATGTTCAAGACCAGCCTGAACAACATAGAAGATCCTATCTCTACAAAAAAAATACAAAAATTAGCCAGGCATGGTAACAAATGCCTGTAATTCCAGCCACTTGGGAGACTGAGTGCTTGAGCACAGGAGGTCAAGGCTGAAGTAAGCCATGATCACACCACTACATTCCAACCTGGGCAACAGAGTGAGACACTGTCTCAATAATAGTAACTAAATAAATTTTTAAAAATTAAAAGATTTAAAGAATATATACATATACACAAACATACACATAACAGACTATATATAAGTAAAAATCATGACAGAGATATGTAAATGATTGAATTTTAGCAATACTGCAAAGAAAAAGATAACTTTCAATCACATACCCTCTGGAATAGCATAGAGACTGCCAATGTGGCCTGCTGGTCTGAC